ATTTTGTGCAAAGAAGGATTTCAATTTCCTTTAAGCGGAAGCGCGCTGTCAGTTTCGCATTTTGCGCCACAAATCATCAACTCTATCGGGCCGTGTCCATGCCCCGTGGCCCTGCTCGTGCCCTTGCCCATCATTTATGTGAGTGTGAGTGTGGGAGTGTGACTGTAGGTTGCAACAACTGCAGCTACACATCATCCATCCATCCATCTAACAATAAGCGTCCAGCGAGTCTGCCAGCCATCCATCTAGTCGGCCATCTGTCAGGCAGTTTTTGTTGTGTTTGAGTTTGGCGTTGTAGCTTTTGTTGTTGTTGTTGTTGTTGTTTCTGTTGGTGTAGAAGTAGTAGTTTTTGTTGTTGTTGTTGTTGTTGGTACTACCCCCCACCACTCTAAGTCATTGTCGTGCGTAACTCCAAATTTTTTAGCGAAACCAACAGACAGTTGCAAGTTAATACATATGTATACTATATATAAAATTGTTTGTAAAGAATTGTCCGCAAAGATTAAACACTTAGTTACAATGTTTATGTTCCAAGGTCAACGTTAAATAGTAGTGAGCTGACACAGCAACGAACCTATATAAAATTATTTTTAAATAATAAAGCATACATTGATTCGAAAAATGCGGAGCTCAACTATCGAGTAAATAGGAATAATAAACACAATCACAAATCAGCAGCTAATATTTTTGAATAATGCCTCTTAAAAGCGAACATATGTTTAATTAGTACATTACTTGTATGTAGAACACGTTTATTGAAGACTAGTATTTTGAGTTACAGCATTTAACAAATGTTCGTTGTAGATGGGCTTTGAATAGGAGCCGATAAGCCCAGATGCGTCTGCCTGCTTCCTTGCGAATTAGTCTTTCAGCTTTAAAGATAACGCTGCACATTATCTCTCTTCTGGAAATCTTGTAAGTGTACAGTATGTATAGAACTATCACAGGAACCACATATTCATTTACTGGAGCCACCCATTTAATTTGGCAATTCAAGGCCCTTTGGCGATTTCAATTCAACATTATGATGTTAGATCATTTACGCTTTCCCTTGCTTTTGTAGATCGCAAGAATTTTGTACATTTACAGCATGAGTTTAACGGTAAATGCAGTGAATTCTCAGAATTCTTCTAAATACACAGGATTATTAGAATGGGAAATCGCCAAACACTAAAACTGTAAACGGCACACAGAAACAATAAGTAATAAAAATCAAGAATAATTTATAGGTCAACTATTGAGTCCCTAAATAAAAAGACAAATTTAGTTTGCAAAAGGGAAGGAAACTTAAGTCCATATTTTACCTTCTCACATCTTATCGTTTCATGGTCCAATACTATATACGTCCAAGAGAACCCCCTATAAATTGCAAAATACCATAAATGGAAGCTCTCCCAAATTACAAAATACGGTAAATAGAGTTTGTTATATATTTATTCTTAGAATATAAAAACTAAGCTGGAAGATTTTTCATACAAACGGTGCATTTTATTTTCAATGAACCCCTCACTCACTGAACTTTGTGCAGCTCCTGTACTCTTTGAAGTTGTGATCTAAAACTTCCAGTGCAAATTGATACTCTTCAAACCTATTTACTAATGTTAAAAGTCAATTCGGATGCCTCCATTATTAGAAAGTTATTGGCCTAAATGCAATACGACAGCAATGCGATCCTTCAACATGAAAATCCTGCAACCTGACACCTTACAGATTCCAAATGAACATAATACCAGAAACAGTTGTAAAATCACCAACAACAGGCAACATAGCCGTACAATCAATATGAATACATAGGCGAGCTGAAAGCTGATCTGATCCAAATTTTGAGTAGGTTAAGAATTAATTGTAAGCCTTCTCTTTAATGAATAAACTAAATAAAATATTGCCATACATGTAATTTCTCACATACACATAGAAATTACATTTGTATGCATACGTAGAGCTATATAATAATACCTTCTATTTTGTCATGCCGATTATGAATATACTTGTAGACTCGGAGATGTTTCGTTCTTCCTTCTCGGCACAAAACTAATGTGCCACGCGTACAGACCATAATTTAAAATTGATGGCATACATATGTATATAAGTACTGTTTTATTAAAATCAAGCATACGCTCTGGCTTCAACGCGTGTCCTTAGGTTCAGAAACTCAAACATTTGTTTAAATATATTTATTTGCAAGATGTGTTGTAATATCTCTTTTGTTTCCTCTTTGCGCTTGCATTTGAATTCCCATACAAATATACAGACAAATATTTGCAAATGCAAGGAAGGGCAAAGTTACGAGTTTAAGCACACACACACATAGACGAGCGTGCAGTATGTGTGTATGTGTGAGTGTGTACGTATATTAATGCGTTTTTTGTTTATTTTGATCGTTGCGTAAATACAAATACAATGGAAGTGAGCGTATCTGCAGTAACAAATTGTTTTTATGGCAAACTTTTATACATATTTTCTATGAAATTACAGCAGCGCCCGCGCATAAAAGCGGCCCATTATGACAATAATAGTAAAAATAATAATAATAGTAGCAACAACACAAAAAAGAAGAGCAAATTTTACAGTCGAGCAAGCCCGACAGCGAAATACCCTGGACCCTAAAAAGCAGTTTGGCTTCAGAAGGGAACGAAACTGCCGATGCAGCTTAAATGTTCACTAAAAACCTCAACTTAGGATAAACCGATTTGAATAACATTTCAAATACGGGTGAGTTTTTTCCTTTCCGAAATGCATCTGAATTAACAGTTCAATTTGTCTCTATGTACTGGTTATGGAGTCGCAGATGCGTCTTTCTATTTGTTCCTTATACTTTGCCCAAATCATTGCCCAAAAAAGCAGAAGCCAATAGAAGAGATCGAAACTGTCACTGGAGCTTGAATGTTTACTAAAAACCTAAACTGAGAATGATTTGGTTTGAATGAAATTTCAAAAATATGGAAGAGCTCGTTTGTTTCCGAAATGCAGAAGTTCGTTCAGATCGATTTGTCTCTATATTCTCTTTTTCCTGCGTGTTACATTTACTTTGCCCAACCGATTATAACCTTTATTTTCCCATCACATACAGGGTATAAAACAAACTGTACGGCATGCTGCTGAACTGAAATAGTTTTCATATTGATTTTACAAGTACCTACCAAGCCTTCTCAACTGCCACGTCTCCCAATACGCCCCTACAGACAATGGTGGCCGACCAGTTGAAGCTGAACGAAGTTTGACACAAATTCAACTTTATGGAAATTCTGGCGGAAAGTATGGCTCTACAAGTTGCACCGCTTGAGTCAAGGCTTTATTCGGCCAACTATTGAAGAAGAAGTGGGGGAGTGTGGAAGACAGACATGCAGCTGATACCGGCATTCCAATAGATTCTGGAGTTGTGTTTAGTTCGTGCACCATTTCTATACTCTGTACATGAAAAATGTAACAGGCAGAAGGAGGCGTGGCAGACCCCACAAAGTATATATATTCTTGATCAGCATGACAAGACGAGTCGATCTAGCTCTGTCTGTCTGTCTGTCTGTCTGTCTGTTTTGCACAAAGATGCCTTATTTGTCTACGCTGTGCAATTTTGTTATATTTTTTTTATTTTCCCCCGTCTTCCACCCTATGGGAGTATTCTCAAATTTTCTGTTCATATAATTACCTATATCTCGAAGACCATATCACCTAGGGACACCAAATTTTAGTACAAGAGGCCTTATGTGAATACGCAGAAAATGTGTGTCTTGAAATTTCCCTTTCTCCCCCCTCTCCCACATGATCACTGCTTTTCCATAACTCCCGTATTTCTTGGAATTTTTCATTGAAATTCGGAAAATCTGCCTAGTTAGTGATGTATGTATGTATGAAGTTATAGCCACATATATCACCTCAGGCCAAACTCTGCCCGCAGCTGTTGTTGTTGTTGCAATGACCTTTTTAAAAAGTATAAATATGTTTGGGCAATCATCACCAAAAAAAAAAAGAAATGTCCAAAAATAACCACGTTGTTCAAATTACTATTATTAATTGTGACGAGAGCTCGTATTATATAAGCAGTTTTGGAAAATAAATTAATGAAAAAAGTTTTGAATAAAATTATGCACATTGTTAAAAATGAAAAATATTCACGTACATACAGAAGAATGAAAAGCCGCAACAAATTATCAAATCGAAAAAAAAGTAAAACCAAAAACAATTAGACTGGAAGAATAATTAAAAAGAAACATTATAAAATAAGAATAATTTACGTCGTTCTAAGGCGACGTTTCAAACTAAAATGACATTGTTTGCTAAAGTAAGGCAGTACATGAGTTTCTTCTTCTTGCAATTACACCGATTTAGCGCAGGCAGCGACGCTTTCGATGCTGAAAGTTATCGAAATTATTTATACTGTCTATCGACAACTGCTTCGAAACTTTGCTTTCGAGATGGTGATTTGATTTAATTGTGATTTGTGTATGTGGGTGTTTTTTTAAGACACACAATTCCTATAAAACAAAATAAATGAATTCTTAGTAGTACTTAACTAATAGTAATAGGTCAGTTATGAAATGCAAGAACATTTATACCCTACTAGCAGCTCTTACCCGTCCTTGTTGGCTCAGTATTTGTGCTTACAATTATAAGTTTATTTACTATATGATAATTCTCTTCCGACACTCTAAAGTTTCTAAAGAGTTCATTTCCAAACTACTTTGGTATGGTTCGAGAGCTGGGACATAAAATGTACAGAGTAAAAGTGTACAGGTATATATATTATTGATCAGAATGACAGGGCGAGTCGATATAGCCATGTCCGTCTGTCTGTCCGTACAGATGAACGTAAGGACATCAGAAGTTACAAGAGCTGGAATTGCCAAAGTTGGCTCATACGGACGGACGGACAGACAGATATCTTTTCAATGCTCCGCCATTTCTCGGGCTAAGGAAAATGAGACTAAATAATGGAAATTATGGATGTACATCGGAATGGGTCTTTGTGCTAATAGTTCGTATAATAACGATAAATACATATATTTAAAGATCTACTCAATATTCTGAAAAGTGTTATATTTAAAGCTATACATATTCGAATTTTTATCAGAGTTATTTCAGAAATCCTGTGCTGTAACGTAAGTTCTTTGGGGTTTTGCAAAGACATTTAATCCAGCCAGTCTGTCGAATTCTCGCTGCCAAATGCAAAAGCGTATATGCTCGATACTCCACTGCTGTCCATGTGTGTGTCTGTTTCAAACGTTATATTGGCCCTAGCACCAGCTGGCCTTGGATGCACCATTGGTGTTTAATATTGTTGGTTCGATCTGTGCCTCCACATCGAACTCGCCAGCCTCGTGCGATTCCAGCAGGCTAAGGGTTCCACACGCGACAGCAGATTCCTGCTGACTGACAACATATAAAACCAACTAAACTGGCATCTAACTAATATAAGCCTGGCACTGGCAAACTCACGTTCGGCGGTAGACTGAGTCCTTTGCTGTGCTCCTGCGGCTGTCTTGGTTGCTCCTGCTGCGAATCGCTCTCCACGGTGTCCAGCGTCCAGTTGTGGCGACTCTCAATGCGTGCTGTCAGAGGAAACGAGCTGCACACTGTTGTCAAGCTGGTATTGCGTGTGGGTAGCTCGCAAAGACCGCTAGAACATATGGTAGACTCCATTTCATACTCCAGGGTATCAACAGACATGGCATCTTCCATATCTGGTTCACTTTCGCCAAAAAGAGCTGGCCGGCACCAGAAAACAGAGGAGAGACTTTAGAGGAAAGACACCATATTTGGAGTTCCCGGCAAATCAGAAAACTATGCAATAACGGCCGCCGATGAGTAAATAGGGAGACACGCGAAATCACGTATTTAACGGATAATATTTTCTGTATCTCCATATACTCATAGGAGCGTGTTTCTTTTATTTTGGATGGGGTGTACGTGTATATTGAAACAAAAAGGCATATTCCCAGACACAATCTACTGAAGTGAGGTGCAGTGACACCTCACTGATTTGTATTATTATTTATTTATAGCATCATTATTTATGTTTTTTTATTATCATTACAATTGGGTGTTCTTTCAGATTTTGGCTTAGAAATAAACTCCAGTTTATCTCGTGGGTAACAATAATTAATTACTACCTTTGAAAAGTTTGTTTCCTCTTTAATACTATATAGTTCTGGCCCATCGACTTACCTGATTTGTGAAGATCCACAAGCGCTTTACGCTCATTGGCCGTTGTGCTTGTCGCTGGCAATGGCATTGGCATTGGCTCTGGCTTAGTTTTCTTATCGCATGTCAAGAAGTCCATTTTTAGGCTCTTACCGAGAATATAGTAAAGTATAAAGAACTGATAGGAGCTGCGGAAAATAGCGTTGAGAGCCGAGCCGAACGAAACGAAACGTATATGCAAGTGTATTTTTGTTGTTTTGTGTTTTTGTGTGTGTGCCGGAAATTTAGTAGTAGCTAGAAGAATTCATTGTTGAATGGCAGAAAACACAAAACATCTAGTACATACATATACACGTACATATGTACTCGTAAGAGAAAAACGAAACGAATGAGGAGTACAGCGAGGAGTATAGCGAGCAAAAGGAGAAACGAAACTGCTCGAAAATTTTAACGAAATGTTTGTCTAAGCGCTTCAAACTTTCCCAAAAACTTAACAATTGTTTGAGCACACACAAATTCAAACACACACACACACACACACAACTACGTAGCAAACCCGCACCCACATGCACTTTAAACACAAGAGCTTGGGCCAGCTACACGGCAAATCGGTTTTGCGTGTGGTCGCCCAATCAAGCGGTAAACCCAAAAAACCAAAACTCTGTCAACAGCAGCACACAAAACAAGTAACTGGCAGAAGCTTCCGGAGACAGGTGGGGAGACAGGATGGCATTTGCGGACGCGGGCTCTATTTTCTAGGTCTGCAGTTCAAAATGTGTCAATTAAATGTGTACACGTGTACACTGGGTACCGAATAAAAACTTGATTTTTTCAACTAGTTCGGTAAAGAATCAGTTGCCCAAGAACCTTCAAAGCGTATTAAGGAAATTCAATTAAATTCCCTTGCTTAAAAACTCTTAATTGATTTAATAAAATACCTAATATCTCGGAGAGTCTACATACCAAGTATGGTAAATGTGGCCTCAGCCGTTTCCGTGTTGCAAGTGTTCATACAGACGGACGGATGTGTGGGTGTCAGAAACGTAACCTCCGGTTAAATATCAAAATCTTAACCTATTTTTTCGAAGTTCAAATTGGTTGTGGATTACATAAAAAATTCATTTCCTGCTTGTAGGAGTTTTTAAACAGCATATTTCGATCATTTGGATACCCTGTACTCAAGGGGTAAAAGGGTATACTAGTTTAGTGCGAATGCATGTAACACACAGAAGGAGGTGAGTAGTAGAATATATATTCTTGATCAGTATAAAACGACGAGTAGATCTAGCCAAGGATAACAGGAAGCACAAGAGCTAAAATAACCAAACTTGGCAGCCAGGTCCTACTAAGTCCGAGAAAGGAAAAGTTTGTTCCGTTTTCTAATGTTTCTCATTAACTCGTTCGCTATTTGTTATATTTCCTAACTGTTATACACATTAATGAAATCTCTGCCTAAGCTCTGTGCCTTGTCTATTAATAAATAATTTTAAAAACATTTAATTTTAAAGTAATATTTGAATAGCATTTGGTTTCATAGCAATGGGTATAGGGTATTTAAGGGCCGGGCCACTTCGACTTTAGCATTTCGTTCTGGTTATTACACAATCGATTCGCTCGATGGAAATGTAAATAAATGTCAAAATAAATAGAGTTCATGCAAAATTTAAATCGAATGCGCATTAATCAGAATTCCATAAGCAGAGTGTGGTATTCTGTTATAGCTAAACAAATTTAGAGACACAAATGTTGTGTTGAATACATATACATAAAAATAAAGAATAGAATAACCAGAAAAATCAGTTGAATCGCAATTGTAATACGAGGGGAAGCGTTTAAGAAGAATTCGGTATTAAAAGTGATCGCGTTTAAGTGCTTGAGGGGTATGGTGCTTGGGTGCCATATACAAGTACATAAGTAGTAAGCGACAGTCAATGGCAATTACTGACACCATCTGTAATTTAAGTAGCACATTTAAATGCTGCATAGTTCAAGTCTTTGGCCCAAATAGGAGCTACTTGAACAGCACACCTCCACTCCACTCCACTAAACTCCACTCCCAGCCCACCTCGAACTGCACTTACCACAACCGCCAGCTCCTTAAACTGGACCAAGCGCCGGTCCAAAATGCATCAGCAGCAGCAGCAGCAGCAGCGCAACTTTTTTAATACGCAACACGAGTGACCCGCTTGCGGACAATTGGAATTGTAACTTTTGATTAAATTCGTAGCAATAGCAACGGGCAGCGAGCAGTGAGCGGCCTGCAGCCAGCAGTCAGCAATGCAGTCGAAGCATCGACAGCGCAATCCGTGGACTACTCAGAGCAAGGGCAAAGTTTTGCGCTGGTTTTTCAATTGCATTTGATTACCTTGTTGCGTGGGTAGCCGAGCGCTTGTTGCTGCCCACCTACTGGATATGAGGTGTTTCTCCGTTCCGTTCCGTTCCCGTCCGTTCCATGTCGAGTCGTGTCGCGTTGGCTTGAACTGCTTTCACGGCTTGTCCTTTCACTACAACAATGCATTTGAACTAGCTCGACATGATTCGATTGTTGCACTACTTGTTTGTCACAAACTACGAACCTGTACCCATTTGAACAGAAAAATGTTTTCAACTTCGTTTCATTAATTTATTTATTTTTATTTTTTTTTTTTAAACAAAACTAATACATTTCAAATAATATGTTATACAGTTGTACGCGCCTTTCTTACATCTGTTACAAGAGCTGCTGGCAAAGCTAAGGCAGACACTACATCAAGGACTACAAAGTCAGGTTGTCCTCCTACACTCATACAGATGGCAGGATGGACACGTCGACTCATCTCATTGCAGTGATCAAGAATACACGAGTATATACGCCACGCCTCATAAGTTAGTATACCCTCACACTTTAGATAAGAGATACTAAAACGTGTTGCCGATTCATTACTTACACCAGCGGAATACTACTTGAACGACGAAGCTATCAATTGGAGTCCGACATCGTAGAAGGAAACTAAAATAACGGCAAGAGTAACTATAGGATCGGTTGAAAACATAATATAAATAGCAACTTAATTAAATTGAATTAAAGACAGATAGATATACTTCCCTAGAGTGCATAAAAATACCGACAAGAAAACGTTGAAATGATAAAATGCTGAGCCTAGAGCAAACAACCAAAACCAAAAATATCTAAACATTCTTAGAACTTTTGCACTAGAAATTTTGGATATTGGGTTTAACCTGTGAAGAATTACTCTTCTTTTGCCTCAAATGGATCGCTGTATTTTTCTGCCCCATTTTTATACTCTGTACATGAAAGGTACAAGAGTATATTAGGTTTGCGCGAGCTGAAAAATGTAACAGGCAGAAGGAGGCGTGGTAGACCCCACAAAGTATATATATTCTTGATCAGCATGACAAGACGAATCGATTTAGCCCTGTCTGTCTGTCTGTCCGTCCGTATGATCACCTAGATCTCAGAAACTATAAGAGCTAGAGACACCAAATTGCACGAAGATGCGTTATGTGTGTTTTCTATACGAGTTTGTTTTATTTTTTTGATTTTCCCCCCCCACTTTCCCCCTATGGGGGTTTTCCCGATTTTCCATTCGTATAATCGCTTATATCTCGGAGACTATAAGACCTAGGCACACCAAATTTTGGCCCAAGATGCCTTGTGTGAATACGCAGAAAATGTATATTTTGGAATTTCCCTCCCTCCCCCCTCTCCCCCGCAATGCGATTTTCTCTAACTCCCGTAATTCTTGGAATTTCGAACTAAAATTTTGGAAATACCCACAGTTAGTTATTATGTGTCCATATGCCAAGTTTCACTATGATAGACCGATTTAACAAGAAGTCATAGCCATAAATATATTTGCTGTTGCAGCGCTGCTCAAGCGCTGCCCGCGGCTGTTGTTGATGTTGCTGTTTAGTTGACTGCGAAAATGCTTACACAGACACAAATAGACGCGCATAAACATACATACACTCACATAGACGCAATTGCTATGTAAATATGCAATTATATACCCTTTACGTGAGTTCGAATACCGAGAAAGGTAAAATAGATCAAATTTTTTTAAATTTTCTTATTTTTTTTTTTTCTATAATTATTGTAAACATTTGTACAGAGTATTTCAAAGTCGGGACACCCGACTTTAGCTTTTTTACTTGTTTTTTTTTTTTTTTTTTTGAATTGCTTTGATGACATCTTGGCATGTGCTTTTTAATATAATTGGAAAAGGGTTTTACTTTTTTCGATATTAACATACAAGTACTTGTAGTATTGTATTCATCTACGATGCTTACGTTAATTTTTTGCAATATTTTTTGCTTAAATGTGTGTTCTGAGTGTTTGTTGCTGCTACAAACGCAGTTTTACAGAAAACGTGCAAATTTGCAACTCTTTACCAGTCAAAAGTACTATTCCACGAAACACAGCGCAACTTATAAAGGTTAATTTAAAAAAAAAAACACATGAGCAACAACTATTACACGAACACACTTCATCGCTTTAAAACAGTTTTGGATTATAATTTTACATACCTTGATTAACGTTTTTCATTATATAACTTAACTTTTGTTGGTTGTTTTTTTAATTCTGCAAGCTCTGAAATTTTACCAAAAATTGTCGCGAAAAGCACAAACACATGTTTCACACAATCAGGTAACTTTGACTGCGCGCCAAGAAAACGGTGTTGCCATATCAACAGGAATTAATTTAATTTTCGCTTAATTACACAATTTATAATAAAATAAAAAGTTTTCATATTTAGACAAAAATTTTTTTGGACTTTCTGCCAAAAAAAAAAAACGGGTAAAAAAACCATAGTGCAATGTTTGGAAAAACATCGATCGATCGACGATGCATCGCAAGCAAAAAGAAAACATGCATCGTGTAAAAAAATCGTTAATGCTAGATACATCGGTGCTTTTTTACATCCCTAACATTGATTAAGATTTTGGTGTGATTTTGATGCCAATGAGACAACTGTGACTGGGGGACAAATATCTGTGATTGCCTGTGATTGGTTCGCAAGGAGTAAATTAGGCTTGAGCAAAGGGCAGAAGGAAGCATCTCCGACACCATACAGATGATATTATTCTAAAAAGACATGACAACACAAATCGATATATGTATTGATTAGGTTCTGATTTTAAAGCTGTGCTCTGTGAAATTTTTGTCACTGTTGTGATTTGTGACATTTAAGTACTCCTGACGAATCGCAGGTGCAAATCTGTTCCCTCATCTCTACTGTTGATTCGGTGAAAGCTTATCAAAAATTGGATCGCCAATTTTTATTATGTTAAGGCGTTGTTTAAGGCGCATTACGTTCCATCGCAATTTCAGAACAATTGCAAGAACCAGATCAGATCCATCGACAAGTCCATGGCGCACTTTATGCACGCTGCTCATCATCTCAGTTTTCTTATTTGCCTCCATGGAGCTTCTCTTCCTCGTCTGCAGGGAAGGCTCTGATCTCAAGGAATATCTGATGCCGCCTTACAAGGAGAGCGTAAAGAGCTATGTCGTGGGCACACGCATCGAGCAAGATGACAAGAGTGTGGCAGAGGAGCTCCGGGAAAAGGTGGAGGTGCACTGCTTGCTGCTGGTGCGGAACCATTACGAGGAGCTTAAGGCGTCGCATATTGCAAGATCATGGGGCGGACGCTGCAACCATTTGCACATCGAAAAGACGGGGAAAGATGGCTACGAGCTCCGCACCTATTTAAAAATCTATGAGCGGCACTCGCACTCCCTCCACTGGCTGCTGCACGTGCACGTCGACAGTTATGTGATTGTCGAAAACTTGCGCTACATGGTGGCAGGACTCGCGCCAACGAAGCCCCTTTGCTTTCACGCTGAGCATGCGCCCTATCCGTACGCGCATGTAGGATTGCACAAAAGCAGGGACTTGCTTCTTAGTCATGGTGCCCTAAAAGCGCTAGTGCAGACCCAGATTTGCATGGATATCGCTTTCGTAATGGATTGTTTGGAACTATCTGGCATTGAAGTGCGTGTCAGTCAGAAATTTTGGCCGTTTGAAGCGCCTGCTGTAATAATCCCCTTTACATTAAGAAAATACTTTTGGCGGTGGCCATATATATATAAAGCTGTGTATCAGGTGAGTTAGCAGAACATAAGAACATAAACATTCCATTCAAACGACACCGAATGAGAAGGCTCCACAAACTGGAAATACATCTTTCAATTATAAAATCCATTCTTCCTAAATGTTGATGACAGTCTCCTTAACTATTTACGGTCTTATATGGGATATCTATTCGAATAATTATGCTCTTTACCTAAAAGGTGCAGACCCTACAAAGTACATATATTCTTGATCAGTATGAGAAGACGAGTCGATCTAGCCCTGTCTGTCTGTCTGTATGAACACCTGGAGCTCATAGACTGCAAGACCTAGAGACACCAGATTTCGTAGACAGACACTTGTTTTTATTTTAGATTTTGTTGATCCTAAAAAGTCAGCGGAAAGGATGGACTACAGCTGTTGAGTATCTTCGTTGCCAATTGTTTATTGGACGCTCAAAAAGCGCTCTATAATTAAAAAATGTGTGAGCTTTCTGTATAACAATTCTGTGTATAGTTTTAAAAAAATCAAGGCATGTAATATCGTTTAAAAAAAGTGGAAGAGCAAGTAAGCCCTATCTTTATGACCAGCTAGGTACGGGCCTTCTTCTTCTCAATAAGAAAAAAGGTTAAAGTAAATAAATTGAGATTTATTGCAAGGGGCAAGAAACTTGAGGTTATTTGGGGTACACATAGTATACTTGTAGTACAACCAGTATTTATTTGACCTTCTTTTTAGGGTTTCAATCATACTGTTGAGTCCTATCCAGTCATTTTGCCTTATGTGCGTGCTAATCAGGTGCATGTTTTGGACTTTTTTCTTTACCATTTGCGGGTCTATGGATATGTCAACTACCAGCCGGCGCTTCCGACATCGGCAGAGTTTCACGTAAAGGCCCTGCCGTCGAATAATTTTCTCGGAAAGCAGCTTTACGGGAAGGTGCGCATATTTTGCCTGGTGCTTACATTTCCCCTGCAGTACGGCAAAGTTGTGAAAGCCATAAGGAACACATGGGCCCGTCACTGCAATAAGCTGCTGTTCTTTAGCAGTCGAACCCAACGTATCTATTCGAATCAGACAATAGCTCTTAATGTCACCGAGGGCTATGACATTCTCTGGAGCAAGACAAAGGCGGCTTTCAAATATGTCTACGAACACCATTGGCATGAAGCGGATTGGTTTTACAAGGCCGACGACGACACCTTTGCGATTATAAGCAACATGCGCTATATGCTCCATAACTATCGGCCGGACGCACCCATTTATTTTGGTTGCAATTTCAACCGATATTTGAAACAGGGCTATATGTCTGGCGGCGCTGGATATGTGCTCAGTCGAGAGGCCTTACGTCGCTTTGCCTTGTGGGGACTTTCCTCTTCTAACTGTACTAGTTCGTACCCATCTGAGGATTATGGAATGGGATCCTGTCTAAGTTATTGTAATGTCACTGCTGGCGATTCGCGTGACACGCAAGGCAGGCTACGCTTTTTTCCACTTCAAATCGAGAATTTTCTCATAACCGCAAATCGAAACAAGGAATTTTGGATTTGGGACTTTATGAACTATTTCCCCGAGGTACCAGTTATGCATATTCTACAGAAATATTATAAAATACCAACGTTAGATACAGCTATTTTCGTTTATAAAGCTATTCTTAGGATTTCCAATAACTGCTAGAATCTTGTTATCTAGAATCATGTGTTTGAATTCGAAAATGTGTAAGTTGCTTCGAAAAAAGTCGCCTTCAGAAAAAAGTTTAAGAGTAGTCGCGTATTACAATACAATAGGTGTTTTAAATTAACTTGAATTTCAATATCACGTGATATCGCCAAACCATTACCAAAGATCCATTTACAGTGTCTGATGAAACTATGTTTTATTGTATAGTATATAGGCTAATATTTATTTATTTCTTTATAGTTTCAGGGCATTGACTGTTGTTCCAGTTATGCTATTTCTATTCACTATACGGAGTACTATCAAATGTATGTCTTTGATTATTTGATATTCAAAGAGCGACCTTATGGCATACGCAACGTGCACGTGCCTCTACCGGGACTCGGGACAATACAACGGAATAGTAGTTCGGATATAATATAACTCAAACAACGGATAACAAAAGATCAGTTCCTGCACTTCTTGTCTATAATAAAAGCAAATACAATTACAATAATCCAGATAAATTAGATATAGCATTCAAAAGCAACCAAATCTATTTGCATGCATTAAATCCCTATTAAATATATAAATATATATTTATGGCGAACTTTTCAACTAATATTAGATTCTTATTCATATTTCATAATGTTTCATTTGTGTCTATATAATACATACACTGATAAATTCTTGGCATGTACGTAGGCTGTACAACCACATATGAACGAGTATAAAAATCAGATTCGCACGGAGCCAATAGAGCGTGACTGTAAAGCTCTGCCGATTGCCTCTCAGTGCAGTCTTCGTCTTGTCTATGTTTCTTAATGTTTATTTTGTATATACAGTGAAAACTCCTTTGGCCGGACCCACACCAAACTTTTGTCCACCCAATAGGAGTGTCCGTTTAAGGGGACTTAGACTTTTTTGCTTATTTCAATTATTAAAATCAACTGACTTCATTTTCAATATAATGATTCAGTTATGAATTTACATATGTAAGTACAAAGTACATACACTGATAAAAAAGTTGCATAGTACGGATGAATATTTTCATATTAAATTTAATGTTCATATTCATGTTTCATATTCAAATCAAATATAAACATCGTAAATTTTACTAAAAACATATTCAATTAGTGATTTTAAAATGAATAATATTCAAAACAAAGTGTTTAACTTCGTTATTAAAGTGTCATATTCAATTTAATGTTGAATCATATTAAATATTAATATGCACACACTTAAAAAACAAATAGTTAAATTTACTATATTCCATAGTAAATTATAATTATAATTTTTCTGAACTTTAATTCGAAGTGTTTTGTAGTCTATTTAAATATACTAGAAATATATTAAATTTTAATTGACTAGAATTCTCAAGTCGGTTTTCAGGATGAAAATAGTTTCAGAAAAATAGTGTCCGTGTTCAATTTAGTGAGGCGAACTTTCTCTAAAAAGTACATCAAATCTAATGTTTTAGAAAGTGTTCGCTTAAGGTAGTGTCCGTATAAAAAAGCGTGTCCATTACGAAAATTTTTACTGTACCTAGTTAATTTAAACAAAATATAAAATTGTGTCCTAAATTCATGAAATGGTGTGTTTATGAGTATCACAAACATATGCTTATCGAATGACCGGGGGAATGTCCATCAGGGAATTCGCAACCACAACAGCTAAGAAATCGAAACATTGTGCCTAGAATTTTTGTATAGATCGTCATTATTATAGCCTGTACCCAAAGGGTGAAAGGCTATACTAGTTTTGTGCGCATGTATGTAACCCAGAAGGAGGCGTGGCAGACCCCACAAAGTATATATATTCTTGATGAGGATGAGAAGACGAGTCAATATAGCCATGTCCGTCTGTCCGTCTGTCTGTATGAGCGCAAGGATCTCAGTAATTACAAGAGCTAGGATAACCAAAATTGGTATCAAGGTTCCTATAAGCCCTAGGCAGAACGAGTTTGTTTATTTTTTCTGTTACACCCCCCACTCCCCCGCAATTCGTATTTTTTCTTATAACTTTCGTAAATCGGAATTTTAAAATCAATTTTGGTGGGTTAGTACTAATGTGTCCGTGTGCCAAATTTCATCATGATAGGTCAATTCTGAAGAAAGTTATAGCCATAAGTAAAATCGCTGCTCATGCGCTGCCTGCAGCTCTGTCGGCAGTGCTGCCCGCAGCTGTTGTTGTTGTTGCTGCTTTTGTTCAACTTTGTGCTGCATACATACACGCATATAAACACTCATAGGTACGTGATGTAAATGTATGCTGTTTAAACTGAACAAAAACATGTATTCTAATTTAATTTAATTAATTATTTTAATTAATTAATTCATTCATTTTTTTTAATAATTTAATTTTTTTTTTTTAATTTTTTCTTTTTGTGGAGAGTACTGTCGGGCTTGCTCGACTGTAGCGTTCTATCTTGTTTTATATGGCATTCACAGGAAAATCCGTTTTACTAGAAATGGTTTTGTTTATCATGATTTTGAAACCAAGCTTTACGGGTATGTATCGAGTCTTATATATTGTGTTTATGGTGCGGTATTTTATGTATCCTGTCGTTTCTTTTTATTCAATTTTTCTATGTGATAAGATATTTGCTCTTCTTGCTTTGAACATGATTTATAGTTCAGGATAAACACCTAACAGGTACGTGCGGCAGACATAAAACAGTAGAAGAAACCTTGGTCGCAATTCGTTGTGTATTTTTAAGGACATCGAGAAACATTGTGTTGCTTGTTAGCTCACAAATGGTGTCTTTTTATACCCTGTACCCAAAGGGTACAAGGGTATATTAGTTTTGTGCGAGTGCACATGGAACACACAGAAGGAGGCTTGGTAGACCCCACAAAGTATATATATTCTTGATCAGCATGACAAGCCGAATTGATATAGGCATGTCCGTCTGTCCGTCCGTCTGTCTGTCTGTATGAACGCAAGGATCTCCGAAAGTATAAGAGCTAGAATAACCAAACTTGGTATACAGATTCTCCTGAGCCCGAGAAAGGACAAGTTTGTTCATTCTTTTCGGATCCACCCCCCACTTCCCCCCTATTAACGATTTTCTATAACTCCCGTAATTCTTGGAGTTTTAAACTAAAATTTGGTAGACACATCCAGTTAGTAATTATATATCCGTATATATCCATATAACATTATGATAGGTTGATCAGAAAGAAAGTTATAGCCATATAACCAGGCCCAATGCACACATACATACATATGTACAAGTACACAAACACGCATAAGGCACGATTCTGATGTAAATGTACGTATGCATGCATGGAATATTTAATTTAGTTAATTAATTTAGTTAATAAATTGTATTTAATTAATTAATTTAATTTCTTTTTTGTGGGGTGGTACAGGGTATTTGAGAGTTGAGCCTGCTCGACTTTAGCATTCCTTTCTAGTTTTTTTTTTTAAAACCCATTGTATTCAAAGGCCACTTTTTTCGGCATGAACATACATAAGTGATTTCACACCTCGGTTCAGACCTTTTCTTAATTAAACATTAATGAATATTGGCTGTCTTAAAGAAGCCATTTAAAGGTACATTTGTATGTATATGTGTAAGTATGTATGTAGATAGCTTAATGTATTATTTCTTCTTTAATGTGCATTTAATGTGAAGCATATTACTAGCATTAATTGTTGAGACGAGCAAGTGGCTGCAGTTGCTTCCATAGATTTCGTGGCTTCCAGCGTTATATTCATTAAATTGTGCAAATTGTAAATTATCCATAATGGGCGTATACACTCGCCCATTACTCACATCCATATATGTTTACATAAGTGCATAGTATGTATAGTATATATGTATGTACATATAAATGAGCACAAAAATGTTTGTATTTTATACACATACATGTGCATATAAAGAATTTTCATGGATATTACTTATATTGATTCGCGCACTCAGCGAACAACCGCGTTAATAAAGAGGAACAACAACAAAGAAGACAAGACAAAAAGTCCTGATTTTTGGTTCATTATAAATGTCCATGCTTTTAATATTCAAGTACTTACATACATACATACATATGTAAGGAAGGCTGCAATGCGATGACCAGAGGAGCAGAAGAAAATTTAAGACGAGCCGAATTCTCACTCACACATAAAATGGTTTAAGAGTATTATTATTAAATGCAATCGTGCAAATTATTAATTATTGTTCATACAACTGACTTTTAACACAAATGTAGCAAAGTCTGTTATAGGAAACATACGGCAAGTTCCTTAAATTGAGTTTTCTTATTGTTTACCTCTGTTATGATGTGGTGACATTTTGTCTGCTAACAGGCCAACTGTGAGAGAAATGCATTTACATATGTACATGGAATGTTAAAGCACGCGGAAAAATGGTAATTTAACAAGTATGAATATTTATAATAAAGCTATATGAATTAGTGCGTACTTACATTTACATACATACGTTTCAAAATTGGCAACCTTTAATTATTTAAATCACAATTATTACCACTTAAATAACAAAACAAAAACAAGATAGAACGCTACAGTCGAGCAAGCCCGACAGTAAAATAGCCTGTACTCTCCACAAAAAAGAAAAAATTTAAAAAAAAAAAATTTAAAAAAAATTAAAAAAAATATAAAATTTAAAAAAAAAAATGAATTAATTAATTAAATTAAATTAGAATACATGTTTATGTTCAGTTTTAACAGCATACATTTACATCACGTACCTATGCGTGTTTATATGCGTGTATGTATGCAGCACAAAGTTGAACCAAAGCAGCAACAACAACAACAGCTGCGGGCAGCGCTGCCGACAGAGCTGCAGGCAGAGCATGAGCAGCGATTTTACTTATGGCTATAACTTTCTTCAGAATTGACCTATCATGATGAAATTTGGCATACGGACACATTAGTACTAACTGGATGTACATACCAAAAGAGAATTACGGAAGTTATAAGAAAAAACACGAATTGCGGGGGAGTGGGGGGGTGCATCGAAAAAAAACTCAAACTCGTACTTTCTCGGTCTTAGGAGAATATGGAAACCAAGTTTGGTTATTCTAGCTCTTATACTTTCTGAGATCCTTGCGTTCATACGGACAGACGGACGGACGGACAAAGCTATATCGACTCGGCTTCTCATCCTGATCAAGAATATATATACTTTGTGGGGTCTGCCACGCCTCCTTCTGTGTGTTACATACATGCGCACAAAACTAGTATAGCCTTTCACCCTTTGGGTACAGGCTATAAAAAGTAAGAGAACTAAAAAAAACAAGTAAAAAAGCTAAAGTCGGGTGTCCGGACTTTGAAATACTCTGTACATATGCTTACAATAATTATAGAAATGAAATAAAGTAAGAGAATTAACAAAAAAAAAAATTTGATTGATTTTACAACTTTTGGTATTCGAACTCACGTAAAGGGTATATAATTGCACATTTACATAGCAATTGCGTCTGTGTGAGTATATGTATGCCTATGCGCATCTATTCGTGTCTGTGTAAACATGTGTGCAGTCAACCAAAGCACCAGTATCCACAGCCGCGGGCAGCGCTGCAGCAGCAAATATATTTATGGCTATAACTTCTTGTTAAATCGGTCTATCACAGTGAAACTTGGCATACGGACACATA